AGATTTATTTCAAAAGCTGGTCATGCCTGAAGGTGGCTGTGGGACAGGGCTCTCAGTGTGCGCAGAGCTCATTGCCTCCTGGTGCTAAGCATCAGACAACCATGCAGCTTCACTCCTTCCTGGGAGACAGTCTGTATGTCTTTTCCTTTTCAGGGTCTGTAAGGTGGAATAATTCAGAAGAAACTGCCATGCAGCAAAATGAAATGTTGGTAGTTTGTTTTCATACTTGGTACTCTGCATGCCAACCCTTCAGGTTTTAGTGGAAAAATGAAGCAACAAGAGGGAGATTTGGGTTAGCTTTCCCAGAAACAGTATCTCTGAGCAATAAAATTGTGTCACTGTATATATGCAACAAGCAAGATTTAAGTATTCCTTTCAGTTTGGTTATAAACTCCTATAGGAGCATTTGTGTTTGAGCCTCCCAGCCTTAAAGGACATGAGCTTTTCCCCATATAAGGAGTATAAGCAGAAAAGGGGATTATAAAGCAGCTATTAAAACCTACTGAGCTAATTCGCTAAAAGGTTGTCAGTCTAGGGAGATTAAAGTTCTCATTGTCAGCACTATATTTGCACATATTCAGTTGGATTCTTAACATCATTCCAATTTTTCTCTTAACTGTAGAAAGTGTATCCTTCTCTCAGTGAAATCCAGAAGCATCTTACAGTTGACAACTGAGCAGCAACACAGGATCCTGATGTCAACTGCAAAAAGCAATTTGAAGACTGTGTTGCAGCAGTTACTTATGTGAGCTCCCTCCCGAAATACACAAAGAAATCCTGGTAGGGATGTGGTTTAGAGATGTACAGCTGTCACCTACTGTGCAGTTACAGTTACATTTGGTTGGAGATAAATTGTTGTTATTTAAGAAATAGAGTCAAAGCCTAAATCTGTTCAAAAGCAGATTATCTGAGATTTTCCTGAAAAACCAGCAAGTTGTCCAGACACATTTATGTGCCTTTGCTGCACAGTCAGAGAGCAGCACAGCCAAAGCAAAAGCCATGAACGAAATCTTCCCCATCACCAACAGAGTCACAGGGGATTAAAATTCCTTATAGAAGAAAGCACTGTTTGCACCACTGCCATCTTCCACCTAAGCCCCTGGAAGACCCACGGGAAACTCAGCAAGGATTTGCATTGCTCTGAGTATATCAGGAGGCAAACCAGGAACAAGTCTGGGGACACAGCTTCTGTCTAGGAAAAATAAAGATCACCTCTAATGAGGTATGGCAAAAGTATTACCTACCACCATGCAGGCTTTGGGAAGTGCTGCCAAGAGGGCTACAGCGTGTGGTAGCCCCTGGTCATGAAACTTCTTGGCCTGCCTCAGAACTGAGAAGAGCTTGGAGGGCAAAGCTAGCCTGGCTCTGCTGGAGAGCTGGCACATGGAGGCTACACCACTAATTAATTTCCCATACTGGGCAAATCCTACCCTGAAGGAAAGTTTATAACATTTCCTTTTCCCAGCACAATCCATTCCCACCCAGGGGACCATCTGGGTCTTTTTATACAACGCTATATATTGTGTAAAAAGTGCATGCTCTTCAGAATGGCTTTTTTAAGTTTGCACTTTTACATATGATAAAGAGGCTTTCATGAGCTGGCCATGAGCAGGACACATCCTTCCCCGTTTCATAACCCCATATGCCAGATGCAGTGCTTCTGTGGGTGAGCTCCCTCACACCTGGCGAGCCAAACGGCTCAAATGGCTTGAGAGAAGCCACCTCACGCTGCAGCCAGGCAGGCTCTGCCCCCGCTGTCCAGCTCACACCATGCTTTATCATTGGACACCGGGACAGGGCACCGAGGCTATGCCTCTGCACCTGTGTCTCTAACACGGCGCGACCACCCCATGTCACCACTGCCCCGAGGACGGCCCCGGCAGTGCGGGGCCGAGCTCCAGCCCCAGGGCAGCCCCGGAGCGGGCAGTGCGGCGGGACCGCCTCTAGGTGGGGCAGCCCGGCCGCCGGCAGCGCCGGGCCGGCTCCGCCGGTGGGAAGCGGGAGGGAGAGGGACAACGAGCCGGGGGTCTCCGGTGGGCGCGGGGAGAGGCACTTTTGGGGCATGGCGGGGTTTGGGCTTTCTCCGCTTCGATATAACACACGACTGTGAAACGGCGGATCCCAGGCGGTATATTTCAGCTTTTGGCCGCTTCCAGGCAGCGAGAAACGGGAAATGCGGAGCCTCTGTTAGGGGTGGAAGCAAGATGGGAATCGTGCCCCCGCAGACATCCCCGGGTTAGGTGCTACCCTGCCTCTCGGCTGCCTACACAGCTGCCTCCTTGCGTCCCCTCGGAGCCTTTTTCAGCGAAGAGGGTTTACGCCCGATTTCTTTCGCGCAGGGTCGGAGGGGACCCTGTGCCCCCCGCACGCCGTGGCCGGGCAGCCCCTGCCCTCTGGTTGCTGCCCCGGCGGAGGGCGGCCCGGAGCCGGCTACCAGCGCTCCTCCACCGACGGGGCCAGCGTGGAGCAGCGCCGGGCCGCCACTCTCCCCCCATCCCTCCCTCCCTCCCGCTGTCCGTCTCCTCCTCGGGGCTGGGGGCCGGGGGAGGCGGGACCACCCAGCTGGTCCCCGGCTGCCGAGGCCCCGGCCCACCGGCCCTGCCCGACCTCCCTCCGCCGATCCCCTGCGCCTTACCCCCGCTGCCGCTCGCTTTCCTCTCATCCCGGCCTCTTCCCCAGGCATTTCCTCCCCCAAACAGCGGTTTTCTGATCGGAAAGAGGGCGCAGAGATCGACCGGGAGGCGGGGGAGAAAAAAAAATTAAGAAAGAAAAAAAGAAAAGGAGGTGGGGGGGGAAGAGCTAAATAAATTAGCAAAGAGTTTCAGACGTTGTAAACTAACTGCAGGTATTTTCAACTGCTCGGGCAAGAAGCCTTGTAAATCAGGGTATTCGCGGGCTGCAAACTGCCTGTGCCGGAGCTCGAAGCTCGGCTGCACCGGGAGAGCGCCTCGTCCTCCTCCCCGCCGCTCCCTGGCCCCCGCAGCCGCCAGTTCTGCCTCCTGCTCGGCGCTCTGCCGCACCTGAACACAGCCCGAAAAAAGACACGCACGACGGGACGCTGTCGCGGCCAGCCCTGCCCGGAGCTCCCCGGTTCTGCCGTGCCCCGATCTCCTCTCCAGCCGTCAACCCAAACCACGAGTGCCGCGACCCGCATCTCCAGCCTCTCCCCTTGGAAGCCCTTCCTCTGTCCCCACGTCTGCGGCCACGCATCTCTTCTGAGAGCCCAAATTTCATCTCTTGGCTGTTAAGCACCCCTTAAAATGCCCGTACAGGGCACCCTTCTTACAACCCTATCTTCTCGTAAGCGGATTTCTCGCAGCTTCCCTAGATGCCCCCTGTTTTCCTCCAGCTCTTAAAAAAATTCCCTTTGGATATTTTCTGAGTGTATCATGACACGAAATTTTGGGTGTCAAAGCGACTGCTTTCTTGGGAAATACGTAGGTAAAAAGGGATAATGAGTGAGACCAAACAAAGTTATTAAAACAGTCTGAATTTGTTCAGGAGGATAAAGCCTGTTCCCGCTCAGTCCCGCAAAGGGGCTCTCTGGCTTCGTGCCGTGTATGAAAGAGGGATTATTTATTTTATTAATTTATTTTTTGGGTAAGAATTATGATTGAAAACGTTTAATTAGTACCAGAGTCGTTGATAATCAATTATCGTCGCTTCGTAGTCTACTGTAAAGAGACGCTCATCTCTGCGGCATTAAGTAGGGAGGTGGTGGCGGTGGCCACACTCCTGTGTAGAAGCCCAGTGACACCCTGGGAATTTGGCTCCTGAAGCAAAGCCTAATTTTCGGGAATCTCTTTTATGTGCTCTAGCTCCTTACGTGGCTGCGTTCTCCCAGCACCAAAACCCCACGTTCGCGAAGCGCAGGCGTTTAATTTCTCGTGTACCTGCTTGATAACCTTGCCGGTATTTTTCTGTTAGTTCCCAGAATGCCAATAATATTTGAAATAAAGAAAAGCGTGATGCTTGGGAGCATACTGTTGTTTTGGCAATGAGTCGCATACATTCAATTTCACATGCGTGTAATAGTTTCGAAAAGCTTCTTGTGTAGGGCCGTTTTCTTTCAGGGAAAACATCGTTTCAGGGAAAGGAGTCTTTATTCTGAGAGAAATTGTCTTCCTAATACGGGCTTTAAAAGCCCTATGGACAGACGACCGTCCCTAACATAAACCCGACCATGTTTTAAATAAACGCAATGGTGAAAAGCCCATTTTCCAAAACCGGCCGAGGCTGTTTTGCGTTCACCCCGACACGGCGAGCGGCCGGGGCTTGGGCGCTCTTCCCGCAGCGCGCAGAGCCCCACACCGGCCCGGCGCCGTGGCCCCCGACAGACCCCAAAAGAGCGGGTTCCTGGGGCTCTTCCTCAGCAGGACGCAGCAATGCCCGCAAGCCCGCGGCGTTGGTCCCGTCCCCGCGACGTTTCCCACTGGGATCGGACCCTTCCCCGTCGCTGGGCTTTAGCGCTCGCTGCCCGGCTCGGCCGAGGCGCGGCGATAGGGGAATACGCTCGAACTGTGCTCCCACACAGTTCCACTCCTCCAGGTGGAGGCCGCCGCTCTTTGCCCGGGAGCGGGTCGGTCCCGCCGAGGCCCGCCCGGGCCGGGCCGCCCCGCGGGCCCAAAGGGGTTAAGGGGCGGCGCGCGCCCCGCGGAGCCGCATCGCCGAGCGGCGGGGAGCCAATGGGCGGGCGGGCCGCGCGGGCGCTGCCCAATGGGGAGGCGCGGGGCCGGCGCTGTCAGGCGGCCGTGAGGGATGGCGGCGCCGCCGGCAGAAAAAGCGGAGGGCGGGCGGGGGCGGGACAGAGCGGGGCGGAGGCAGCGCCCGCGCCGCCAGGGACCCGCGGCGGCGCCCGGCGCAGCGCGGTGGCCCCGGCGGCCCCGGCCCTATGGGCGGGCGGGCCGGCAGTGGCGCAGAGAGGCTGCCCCCGCTGGCGCCCGCCCTCCCGGCGGCAGAACAGGGCCCGGCACCGGCGCGGCGGCGGCGGCCGGCGATGCGGTCGCCCAGCTGAAGGCGCGGCGCGCTCCGCTGCTCGCCCGCGGGGCCGCCCCGCCGCCGGGCCATGGCCGTTCGCGGCGGCAACGCCCTGACGCCTTTCTCCATCCAGGCCATCCTCAACAAGAAGGAGGAGCGCGCCCGCCACGCGGCGGGGCGGCCGCCGCCCCCGGGGGCTGCCGGCGGCTGGCGGCTGTGCGGCGCCGCCGAGGACCCGCCGCTCCCAGCGCCCGCCGCCCGCGCCCCGGCCCCGCGGACGCCGGCGGGCTGGGATTCGGACTCGGCGCTCAGCGAAGACCCAGAGGGCGAGCGGCGCTCCGAGGAGGAGGGCGCCGGTGGCAGCGCCCGCCCCGCGGAAGCCACGGTCGGGGGGCGGCCGGCGGAGGAGGCGCAGCCCCCGGAGACGGCGGAGCGGGACGCCGCCGGCCTCAGCGACAGCGAGATGTCGGCCGCCGTCTCAGGTAGGGGCGGCCCCGTTGCGGCCCCTCCGCACCCGTGTGGGGAGGGCGGGAGGGTCCCGGAGGGCCGGGAGAGGGAGGTGTTCGTGGCTTTCCGCCGGCCCCGCGGGGGTTGCGCGACGGGCTCGGGATGTACCGGGGGGGGGAAATGCCCCTGAAACGCGTCCCGCGGGGGAAGGGAGGGCGGATCGGGGAGGGTCCTTGACCAGGTTGAACCTGCAGCCAGACAGGGCTCCCGGCGTTTAAAGGAGACCGAGGAGCCCCGGCTGCCCGCGGGGGCTGTTCCGGCGTCGGGGAGGGCAGCGGCTCGGTGGGCTCCCCACTCGCCTGGTCGCTGCGGACCGGCCGCAGGGAGCGCGCCTGGCCGCGGGTGCGGGCCTCGAGAGGAGCGGGGATGCGGCTGTCCCGGTGCCTGCTTGCCCTCATCGCCGTGCTCTCGCCCTGCCCGCAGATCGCAGCCCCCCGGACGAGGAGGACGGAGCGGGCAAGTGCGGGAATTTGATGCCGGGGGAGGAGGAGGCGGCAGCGCCGAAGCCGCGGAAGAAGCGCTCCCGCGCAGCCTTTTCCCACGCGCAGGTCTTCGAACTGGAGCGGCGCTTCAACCACCAGCGCTACTTGTCGGGGCCCGAGAGGGCCGACCTGGCCGCCTCACTAAAGCTCACCGAGACGCAGGTGAAGATCTGGTTTCAGAACCGGCGCTACAAAACCAAGCGGCGGCAGATGGCCGCCGACCTCCTGGCAGCCGCCCCCGCCGCCAAGAAGGTGGCCGTCAAGGTGCTGGTGCGCGACGACCAGAGACAGTACCACCCCGGCGAGGTGCTGCGGCCGCCCTCGCTGCTCTCCCTCCAGCCGTCCTACTACTACCCCTACTACTGCCTGCCCGGGTGGGCTCTGTCCACCTGTGCTGCAGCCGCCGGCACACAATGAGGGGCACACATACATATCCCGCTGTCCCCGACCCCCCTCCCGTGCACACTGGCAGCCAGGAAACCCATCTCCCCTCTACCACCCCCCCATCCATCAATCCATCCATTCAGCTTCTCAAATCCAGATCCCCAGCTGCAGCTCTCAGTGCCTCGGACAGTATTTATTATTATTTTATTGTTATTTTTATTATTAATATTTTTGGATGGTTCCTCACCCTCTCCTCTTTCAACATAGGACTTCTCGGCCAACCCCAACCCGACCCTCACCCCATCCCCACCCCGCCAGCTGAGGACTCTCATGATTCGGCAGGACTTGTTCATGGTATCCATGTTGTCAGTGTATTTGGTGTAGACTTCTTGTTTGTTTGTTTTATTTCGCTTCGGATTGGTAGAGACTCGATTTGTGTGAAGAGAGAGAAAGAGAGAAAAAAAAGAAGAGGAAAATAAGTACGACCTGCAAAACCAAATGCAGCTCAAAAGAGGAGATCAAGGACTCCATTCGTGGATTGTAAGGAAGATTATTTTTGTCGTCTGAGTCCTTGGTCTTCCAACTCATTGCAAACTGAGTGTGCCTTGTATGGTGCTGAATGTAAGGAAGCTTCTTTCAGATCCCCCCTGCTCTTGTTGCCCATGTTATTCCTGTACTCCATGATCCCTGGCAAAGGATAAATATGTCACAGAAGGGTGAGACTTATATTGAAACTCCTGGCTTCTTCTTTTCCTTTTTTTCCTGAGATCTTTCCATGTTTGGGGAGGGAGGAGTTATGGATTTTTCGCACTTTCCAGATGTATTAAAGTTGTTATTATTATTATTATTTTTATATTCAATGTGAATATTTCTAGTCAGGCTTTTTAAGAAATCGATGTAATGGGAAACTTTAATACCATCAGTGCCTTTTATAGTTCTGCAGACCTTTCCTCCAGGGATGGGAATTTCTGATCTGCCCAGCAATATAATTACAGTCTATTTTTTCAAGGTAACTCGTTGCTTTTTTTCCCCTTCTTCTTTTTCCCCTCTCCAGTTCTCTTTCAATGGCACTGTGCACTCAACTAGATTATTTACTTCAAATGAATTGTGAATGTTTGTAAGCTACCCGCTGTACTTGGTTTCTTTTTTAATTTATAAACTTTAGTTTAACACATAGTCTGCTGCTTGTGTCGTTTCTGAGGGCAGACACGGATTTCCCCAGCGATTATTTTTCCCCACAGCAGACTTCAGACTATATCTCTGATCACATCCCTCCTTTTCCCACTCGCACGGAGGCAGGCTCTGGTTGGGACTGGCAGCTCCAGTGGTGGGGATAGTGGGGCCTGGCAGAGTTCTCTCCCACTGCACCCCTGGGCCATGCCCAGCTTCACCGTGCAGAGCCGGTGCCAGTTCCCTCTGGGAGTCGGAGGGGTCTCAGAGGTTCGGGCTGGGTGCTTTAAGCACTTCTTTGGTGACGCCTGTCCTGGATGGAGCAATCGCTCTTCTGCCGGGGAGCTGGGATCGCTGGCTGAATTTACGGCCGCCAGTTGCAGTGAGGATGCAGTGAGGTCCGAGGAGCCACGGGGGACATCGAACAGGTTTTCCTGGTCGAGGGTGGCCTTACCGTGCGGGCTGCTGCCTCGCTTCCCCGGGCCGTACCGGTTTAAAACCTTGGCGGTTCCTGGGGAAAGTGCATGGGTCGGCAGATCGTTTTCTCCCTGCTGGAGCCTGGCGGGGAGGCCGGGGCCCCGGGCCGCGGGTGGGCGCCGGAGGTTTAGGATGGGGCTGCAGGAGGGGGCTTCGTAGTCCTCCACGAAACCGCCGAGGCCGTCTGTATCCCGACACAACCGCGATAGCCGCTTGGGGCAGCGTCCCGCCCTGGATTGAATCCCCTCCAAGCCTCCGCTGCGAGCCACGGGCCCTCGGCGCGGTGCTGGCGGCTCATCCCCGCCGCCGGCTGCCGGTCTCGGGCGTCACCGGCAGGACCAGTGCTGCCCGAAAGGGAGGACAGCCTCCGGTGGGGTGGGCAGCTCTCCTCGGGGGACCGGGGCTGGGCAGTGGCGCTCGGAGGGACCGGCTGCGGTGGTTTCCCTACGCCGATGGAGCCTTGCCCGGACCTCGCTCAGAGGCCGCCGTGTTGCCTGGGCGCCGCCGACTCTTCACCACCGCCGGCTTCTTTCCTTCCCCGCTGCGTCGCATGGGCTTCCCTCGGGCTCCCGAGCACGGAGTGGTTCGCAGGAAGCCTCTGCTGCCCCATCGATCCCCAGCCGCCGTCCTTGCAATCCTGTTTCCCCGTCAGCCCCTCACCTCGGCCCTTCCCTGTCGTCATTTCGCTTTCCCCAGGCTCCGGCACCCTGCAGACGCCCGGGCTGGCATCCCGGCGGCACTCGGCTCCCTGTGGGCTTCCCCACCCCAGCATGGGCTTCGGGCGAGCCCACTGCTCCCAAAACCGACACTGGGGGGGAATGTCATGCCACTGGGGGGAATGCTTTGGTTTTGCTACGCCGGGCGTGTCGGCGGTCCTGCTGGCGAAAGGAGCGCTCCAGATGTAGCGGTCCTGTGCTCTACAGCGAAGACCTTGGCGGAAGGGAGAAGACTGACATTTATTTGGCCCGATCCTGAAGCTCTTGTCCCTTTTTTCTTTCTTCTTTTTTTTTTTTTTTTTTTTTTTTTTGGTAACTATTTCCTTCCGCCGGTCCCACTACTTTCCTTCCTGGGAAAACGAAACTTTTGGGTGGCAGAATCCGGGCCCCCGTGCAATTGGGGAGGTGAAGAGGAGTCCCTGCTCCCCCTTAATTTGCTTTTTTTTCTGGCCCCTGGGGACGTTTTTCTGCCGGTAGCCCAGTACAAGACACCGAGCTGACTCCCATTTGATGAGACACTAGCGGAGGTTCTGACCCCGGCGGGGATGGCTTTCGGCGCAGCTGGTTATAGTTCCTATCGGGCTCCCTGTTCGAGGGAGAGAACTATTTCTAAACCTTTTCTTTCTTTTTTTTTTTTTTTTTGTACATCGCCGTGTTATATTATTTTGATTCGTGCTTGCTGATGGATGTAGTGCTCTAGGGAACCTCCTAATATGAAAGGGAAGCATTGGTTATTAGAGCTTCCTCAGGCTGTAATGCTGGGTAATACACAGAATAAAGCATCAAAATATTTTTCTTTGAATCACGTAAAACTAAGATGCATTTTACTCAAGACAAAAGTTGCTGGGAAAGATGGTCCGATTGAAGTTACCTTGAATTTTAGGATTGTGTTTAATATCGAATATTTACGCATAGACAGTGTCTTCGTTTGACATTGACAAAATCCGATATTTGAGAAATGTCAGTATTTTATATAGGGAAAATTTAATCGATATTTTTACCGGAATTTGGGGGCATTTCTATTCCTGTTTTTCTTTATAATTTTGAGTTTTGAAATATAGAGCAAACGCTCTGCATCCTTTTATCTTTTCTTAATGACAAAATCCCCAGTAAAGTGCACATAACTGTACCAAGGCCAAAGGAATTACTCTGGATTTTCGGCATTTAAGTTATCTGCAAAACCTAGGCTCTCACACACTCTCTTCACACACTCCCTAAACACACATTCATCTCAACAGCGCATCCATTGCTGCAAGGTGAAATAATCTCCCTAACGATATGTCCCGATTTCGGCCTCTCTCCCAAACCTCGAATCTGTACGGGAGTCGTGGGAATCATTTTCCATCCGACCATGAACAAGTTCTAGTCTTAAAGAAAACACTCGCAATGGCAAGAGGGAGAGAGAGAAAATACCACAGCTACAAGAAATTCGGTTGTTGAAATATAATGTAAATTGTGTATATCTTTGCATATGTCTCCACTGGCGCTTGTGTTTGTGTATTAAACACTCGCATAGGCGCAGAGTCCAACTCTGCAGTCGGGAGGCTGCCTATATTTAGATACCTCCCGCTCGCTCACGGGGTAGTAAAACAGGAAACCACGTAGATTTTCTCTCCCCCACGCACGCACACACACACACACTTCTACCCAGGTAGAAAGCGACACTTCCCCGGGAGAAGGAGAAGCGGCAGAAGATGCCGAAGCACAGGCTCTGGCAGCGCAGCACCTGCCCAGCCTCCCAGGGGCTCCCGGCAGCAGGGGCCAAAGGTGGGCCGAGGTTAAGGGCCTCTCCCCGGCAGGCTTTGGCAGGCTTTCTTTGCGCTCTGCTTCTGCTGTCAGAGGGACGGCGATGCGCCCCGAAGGTCGGGGGCACGGGGAATCCCGACCGCCCTCCCAGTGGCTCTCTCGGGTCTGCAGCACCAACCCGCCGGAGTAAGCCGCTCCGCTGGGAGGACTCCGAAGCCCAAGGACAGGGATGCTCCTGCCCGCAGACAGTCGGGAGTGCTGGGAGACCTGCTGGAGCAGGGCTGACCCGGGCGGCCGGAAAGCCGGACCCCCGCGGCCTGCGGAGGTCCAGGGCATTGCCAATGGTGGCTCCATCGAGCAGTCTGGCTTGTCCCGAGGTGATGGGAAAAATAAGGGGCAAATCTTTCTGCCCCGGCCACATAATCGGGGATGTTACCGCTCCCCACCTGTCCGAAAGCCGCGTGAAAGTGGATTCTTTCGCGTTGTCCGCTGCTGCAGCGAACACCACGATTAACCGGGAAGCAAGGTGTACCGGGGAGCAAATGAACGGTTTCCCAGTCGAGTGTCACGGCGGTCCCCGCCGGGACCCGCACCCCTCCGGGACGGGCAGTGCTCCCTCCTCCGGGGGCGAACAGAGACGCCAGTGGGCTAAGGAGGCTCTGCGCGGAGGCCTCCGGCACCGCGGGGGCTGCCGCCTGCGGGACCCCCGCACCGCCCCGCGCCCGGGCAGCCGCACTGACCCGCACCGGGGCGGCTGCGCACGGCGGGCCCGTGCCTTACCGAGGGACTGCGGGAGCGGGCGGACTCCTACCCGCAAGGGGGGCTTGTCCTTTTCCTAGAACATGTTCAATATTTGTGGTGTGATTTTTTTTTTTGTTTGGTTTGGGGTTTTGTTGTGGGGTTTTTATTTATTTATTTATTTATTTATGATTTTGGGGGTTTTCTAAGGGAGGGAGAGAATTTCCACAATCAGCACGCAGTCCGGAGGTAAGGCGCGGAGCGAGTG